CAGCCCCACAGACAATTTCTGAGATCAAATAGCTGAGTTTTCACTGGCCAAACAGGTGAATGGTAAGTATCACCACCTACACATTATTTAAAATTTTAATGACAGTAATGAATTACATTACTCTCTGCAAAAGCATGTTGTTGCTTTTGTTTCCCTATGAGGAGAAACAGTTACTGGGGCTTCTGCTCGACCTTTCCTATTACAATAGGCTTTTTTTCAACAGGTTAGAAAGCCAACGTGAGAATTCTTCCAGGGTCCAAGTGTGTTTTACAGTTGCATATTTAGGATCTAAGGAAACGTCACATGGTAGATATGTGGACCTACTAAGGACAGTGTAGTGGGAATTTGAGCCAAGATTCCTTTTATCCTCTAGCTGTATGAGCCCTCACCAGTGGCCCATAGTGGCATTTTGGGTCTCTTCTTATTGATGTCATTTCTGAACCGTGCCTTTTAATCCCTGAGAGTCTAGACATTTCTTATTCCCTGCAGTCACTCTAGTCACAGATCCCTTTGGGAAAAGCGGGGTGGAAGTCTTAGAATATAAACTCGTGACTGTCCTGCTGTGTGTCTTCCTCATACAAAGGGGGCCTACTCTTCAGCAAAGAATTCTTAATCTATAAACTAATTTAGGTCTGAAAACTAGTAATTGGTGATGACTTTTCATTGTGGCAGCTAAAATCAGGTCTGTGTCCACCAGAAATGGGATTTTTTCCACAGGTCAAGGAACATGTTATGAGGCTATCAACTTCATTCTTACATACAAGTTAAGTATCTCCAATCAGAAAACCTAAAATCTGAAATGCTCCAAAACCCAAAATTTTTGAGCACCAACACAATACCACAAGTGGAAGATTCCACCTCTGACCTCATAAGATGGGTCACAACCAAAACGCTGGTGTACTATAAATATACACAATTGCCTTCTGTCTGTTGTGTAAGTTGGGTTTCCAAGCCCCAGCATGAACTGAAACTGATCTGTGGCTTGTTGGGAACTGGGCCGCACGGCAGGATGTGAGTGGCAGGCAAGCCAAAGAAGCTTCATCTGTATTCGCAGCTGCATTACCCTGGGAGCTCTACCTCCTGTCAGATCAGTGGTGACACCTGATTCTCTGCGGATCTGTTGTGAACTGTGCATGCATGGGATCCAGGTTGTATGCTTCTTATGACAATCTAATATCTGGTGATCTTAGGTGGAACTGAGGTGGTGATGACAGCACTGGGAGGTGGCTGCAAATGCAGATTAACATGCGCAGACTCAGACACCAGAATACATCAACTATAGGAGACTCATATCCAAACCCTGTCAGTGAGTGATGATAATTAAGCTGCACTTGATGGTAGGCTTTGTAATGGCAAGTGAGTTGATGTACTTCAATTGTACAGCTGCTTTTGGTCACAGGATTTAAGCCAGAATCTGATACCCATTTTAGTCCATATGTTTCTTGACTATTGTTTTATTGACTATTTCCATCTGTGCCTCTTTCCCACACTGCATTTGTCTTAATCACAGTTAGTAAGCCTGCAAGCTAATCCTAGTTGAAATGAGTAGAAAACAAATGTCACTGGGAAGCTTCTTTGAAAAGGACAAAAGACCCAATGAGAAGGTAGCAAAAGACTCTAAGACTTCCAACAAAGGGAAATCATTCAAAAGAAAATTCCAAGAGTCCTATTTAAATTACATGTTCACTGCAACAGGTGATTTACATTCTCCAGACCCACTTTGTATAATATGTGGTGACCGGCTATGCAAAGAAACCTTCAAACCTGCTTTGCTACATTGAGACCAACACCCTGACTTTGGAATTTTCAAAAAAATGTGCACATGAAGGACAAAAGCAACTATCAAAGGCCACTTCTTCATCAAATGTATTTTCCCCAAGAGCATCCTTCTTAGTGGCCAGCCTTGTGACTAAAGCTAAGAAGCCAAATTGGGATTATGAGAGTGATGAATAAACACTAGAATTTTTGACTTGTTTCAAACTTTACAAGAGAATTGGAAGGGGACTGACCTAGGGCCTTTTTTCTCCCAGCTGGCGCATGGCCTCCTATCTCCACTTGCATTAGAATTTAAGCATTACTGCTTCCCAACCACAAAGGCCCTGAGTTGGGAAAGAACAGGTCTGTGACCTATTTGTGAATAAGCCAGAATAGACTTTGTTCTAGAAGAGGATCAGACGCTTACGATAGAAAATGATGGTGACCTTAAAAATGTTTTAGATAACTTCAAGCCTCTATATGTTCTGGATCAAAGCCAAAGCGGAATATTCTGAGATTGTCAAAAAAGCACCAAAAAGCCTGCTTTCATTTCCAATATCTCATCATCGTGAAGAAGGGTTTTTTTGTAGTGACAGCAACCAAAATGAAATTACAGAGTAAAATAAGCAACACATTTTGGGTGTCAGTGTTTCCCATCACCCCCAGATTGGACCATCTACTTTCAGGAAAACAAGCTCAAGGCTCCTACTCATTCTGTATTATGGTGAATTGTATAATTATTTTATTATATATTATAATGTAATAATGATAAAAATAAAATATATGCTAAATATAATGTGCTTGAATCATCCCCAACCCAGCCATCACCCCCATGTCCCACCCTACTCCACCCCTGTCCATGGAAGAATAATCTTCCGTGAAACCAGTAATTGTGGCCAAAGGTTGGAGACCGCTGATATAAAGCATACATAAAACATAAATGAATTTTGTGGGATGAGGATGTAGCTTAGATGCACAGCACCTGCCTGGCAAGTGTGAAGTTCCGAGTTTGATTTCCAGTACCAAAAAAAAAAAAAAAAAAGGAATTTTGTTTCTGGACTTGGGTCTTATCCCCAAGATATCTCATCAGGTATATGATATTTGTGCTCCCTATCGTAATCTATTCCTGAATGCCTTAGAATTTGGTGAGTTTAGAACTCAGAGTCTGGGTCCTTTCAGGGAATGAAAAGGAAAAGGGTCAAAGTTAACTTTGCATATGATATTTAACTCTTAACATCATCTCGCCAATCCTTCAGATGTTAGAGATAATCCTCTCCAGTCCTTCAATATGTCAGGGCAGTTCTGGCCTCTTAACCTCATTAAATGTAGGCCACACCTTGGAGCTGAACTTATAGTCAACAAATCCAGTGAACTGTTAGGACAACTTTTAGCAGAATATTTTAACTCAGTAAATCCAAAATTCTGGTAAGTACTCCTCTAGCAATACATTTAGTGCTATCAAGGGTTCGTGCTTTAGTCTCTTTTGTCAAAGACCCTTAGGACCCATTCAGCCACATATTCACTAGTTTCTGCCAATATAACACAGCAAAGTTTGCAATTATTTTGAAGAGTAAGCTATTTTCTCCTGAGGTGGACTTCGCGCTTGTCTGCAAAAACACTAGGTGTGGATCTTGCGGTAACAGGTCTCAGAGGAAGAAGATGGAGAGGAGAATGGGCATCTCCTCGCCAGGCAGCTATTTCAGGTAAAGTTATTACAGGTTATTCCAGTAAGAAAATGCTAGCTTTCTCAAACAGAGAACAAGCGGAGAGACCATAATTTAATAATAATCACATAAGGTCATATACCCAACTGCAAATGTCAGAAATGCATGAAGTTATTTTAACAGCAAGTCAGTAACTTATTAACTCTTGCTGTTCAAAAGGCTCAAGGTTTCAAGACTTCCACAGGGTGTTCCTATTTTTGTTAATTTCATCTCTTTTGGTTTATCTTCAGGTGCAGAATTCTCCCTTTAAAGTAAAACATGATATCAACGTTTACCCATAGTGGAAGCAGGAAAGTGTGTCAGTTTTGTTTCCAAAAGAGAAAGTTTATTAAAACATTTCATTGTTTACAGAGACATTGTTTACAGTATTCTGTATGTCCTGACATTCAGGACATATGACATTCAGTTTTCTTTCTCTTACTCATTTCCTCCCCTCCTAAAATAAAAAAAAGGACTATTTTTTTGTTGTTGGTAGAAGCCAAGATTGTCTAAATAACAAGGGAAAGAAAACAGTGGTGCAGTGGGGTGAGGGAATATAAAGTTATTCAGAGCTGGGCCTGAGAGTGTTTGGAACTTTCTCAGGATGCAAGCGATTGCAGAGTGGAGGGGACGGAGAAGAGTGCTCGTGGATTATGAACTGGGTCCTGTCAGTGTTCTGCAAGCATCTGAAGTAAATAATGGAATCCCTTATTAATCATCTTTGGCTACTTGAGAGTGATTCTTTAAGTGTGACTCTAAGTTCATATAGGTTGATATGGGTCCCTATAATTTCGGGATTTTCACAATATTTATTACATACATCAACTCTAAATCGGGCTCTAACTTTCTTGTATCTATGACTGTAATTCTCCAAGGATTATTGCAGTCACCTGTGGTAACTAAACTATCATTTCTTATATGACTTATGGCTCTTTGGAAATTAAAATAATTACTTTTGCAAACAATGGCTTAGGTGAGGTAAGCAGGGCAGCTGCTAGCCATCCTGATGAAGCCAGTGCAATTATACCCTGACCTCTGCTTCAGTTCTTTTACAATACCAGTCAAGATGTCAGCAGGTTGTGCTTGGCTAGGAGGAATCACTTCCAAGTTCACTCATCCAGTTGCTGGCAGCATCCAGTTCCTCCTTGACTGTTGGTCTGAGACCTTTGTTTCTCTTAAGCTGCTGGCAGGAGACTTTCCTCAATCCATGCCGTGTGAGCCTTTCCATGGAGAACTTCACAGTGGCAATGGTGTCATCAGAGAGAGCAAGCAAGAAGCAAGAGACATAGTGCTGGCAAGAAAGAAGTCTGACAATGAAAGTGACCTGCCTCTGCTGGGGCCATCATTTACCCACTGGAAACAAGTCCCACTCCATGAGGTTCAGCTGCACTCACACAGCAGACTCACACTCACAGGCCTTACAGGGACAGGAGTGTCGGGAGCTAGGGATCTTGGGAGGTCATCTTAAAAGTGTGCCTTCCACAGTGGGCGTGGAGAAGAGGCGCAGACAGGGCAACTGAGAGGGTGGGGAGCAGGAGGCAAGGGGATTCCAGTTACGGAAGCTCCTCGTCCTGTATCCGTGGTAGTGAATAACTGTTGTTAATGAATAGCAATAATAATGAACTGACAGTAAGATGAGGAAATCCAAATATTGGGTTTGATCTCATAAAAAGAATACTAGATTACTAGAGCCTAAAGGAATTACTCCTACTTATGCCTAATTATAAGAGGGCCTTAAAATGAATATGATTTGGATGTGACTTTCATTATGAGTTATTTTATCAAAATCATATTCTTTTTGTAATGTGGATGTCAATAATAAAGACTGCTGGGCGTGGTGGCACATGCCTGTTAGCCCAGTACTTGGGAGGCTGAAGCAGGAGGATAGTTGTGAGTTGGAGACCAGCCTGGGCTACAAAGTGAGCTCAAGGCCAGCCTGAACTGCATATGTCTCAAAAGGCAAAAAAAAAAAGAGAAAAAAAAACTGTTCATGTAATTGTAACAAGTAGGCTGTCATTAATTTGGTGTAGAATGAAGTGAAAAAGATCAGAAATTTGGACTAATATTTTATCACTTTTGTTTTTCTTTAGGCCCCAAAAAACTTTCCCCATGCTCACTTTATAAAAAATATTTGTGTGTGTGTGTGTGTGTGTGTGTGCGTGCGTGCGTGTGTGTGTGTGTGTGTGTTGAGACTGTTTTATCGGGGAGGTGAGGGAAATGTTTTCTCTGTTCCTGATATGCCCTTCTTTGTAGAGCTGTTTTTACTAGAACAACTATGGGAAGCATAAACTGGGCGTGATCAGCTACAACCTTTCCTTTGTGGAAGGAAGTTGCCCACCAGAAGCATAAATTCCACCCTTCTCCCCCACTCCATGTGTTTACTGAGGGATGTTATAGGACTCCAGTGCTGGGTGAATAGGTCTTTTTAATTCTCTGGTTCTGTATTTGGAATTTTACTTGCTAGCAGATATAGGTCATTTTCCCAATACTTGTTTTATCACTTAAAAAGCAGTACATGGAGTTTATGCATAGAGTACTTGCTTAGCATATGTCAGGCTCTCGGACATGTTCTTTAGTTTCATTCTTTAACTATTCAGAACATGATTAAATAAAACAGGAGTGCTTTACTGAGCTCCTCCAAATCCCCATGTTAAGTTTACTTTCTCAGTCTCACAACCTTCTTGAGAGGTAGTCAGGGTTACATCTTAAGCACCAACTACAGAGAAGAAAACTGAGACCCAAACAAGTCAAGCCCGTGGTCTAATAGAATGTTTTTTCTCTTAGAGTCACAGTGGACTTGGGTAGTCAGAGGCAAGTCCAAATATAAATAAATGCCCAAGAACCCAACTCTGGAGACTTAGGACAGGGAGTATCCCATTCGGTGGCATGATTATTTGTGTTTAGTTCATCTCTATTCGTGTTGCTATTGCTTACTTTTTTCAACGCACATTTTAAAGAACAGGTTTCTGACATATGACTTTTGCTCCCGTTTTGTAGGCTCTGAGGTGCTTTCTTACCACTATCTCTCGAGTCCAAAACAAAGGCTACTGATAGGGAAAATTCAGAAGATGCTTTGGTAAGTAACAGCAAATCCTGATTTATTTCTAAAACAATTTGTTGATGAGATATTTCCAAATAACAGCTGGTGTTAGGGTTCGGAAAACAATTTTCAAAAGTACAGTGTTTTGACATGCTGACTTACTTTGAAGAACTAAGGTCTCTCTGACCTATGTCTGACCTTTGGTCTCTCCCCTCTCTTCCTGCCCAAAAGGACAGTAAAATACAGTCTTGATCCATTGGGATCTCAACTTTGTTCCCTCGCAGCCTGTTTACTTTTAAAGGTCTTGGTCTGGCAGTGCTGAACTTATAAGAACACAGGTGGTGACAACAGACATGGTGGTGAAATCTAGACCCACCCTAAACCCTAGAGAAACCTAGTCCCCTCTCCCTTACTGTCTGTATGACTGGGAACAAGTTGCTTAACTCCTCTGAACCTTATTCTTCATCTGAAATCCAGAAGATTTACCTTACAACACCATGTAAAGCAACTGGCATGTATGCTCAATAAACATTATTAGCTATAACTGTCTTAGAACATTCCTGAGAAACACCTTCAGGATTTTCTACAATTTGGCCATTTGGCAGCTTTCAAACAAATAATGCGTGTAATCTTTACTTCAACTTCAAGATGTCTCATGCAGTGGCAGACCTTGAGTGGGAGGATAAGTGGATTTATCTGCAAGTTCAAACAAGTTCTTTTGTGGTGAAGCAGAGGCCATTAGGGAGCTAAAGAAGGTCTGTGGAAAACACAAAACAACTCATCCTCAATCTAAGGAGTTAGGGCATCAAAGCTTGGTCTGAAACTACTTGGCCTCTTAGGATTCGGCAATTCTGGATTCAGCAGATGTGCTGATCTGACCTCTTCCAAAGACTTATGGAAGGATGGTGAAAGAAAAAACATGTGCTGTTTTACCCTAAATGTCACTCCCAAATTTATAAAACCTTAGGTGGAATGGAGTGATAGTTGGCGTAGTGTCAAGGATAGAGGACATGACAGCTGAACAGTGCTTGTGACATCTGTGCTGTGAATCCCAGGAACATGAAAAGGCCTCTGAGGCCTGGGGTAATGCCACACGGTGGCAGGAAATGTCAGAATAGCCTAGGTTGCATCACCTATAACCAACATGATGCTCTATATTATCTGAAAGGGATTTTAATTGATGAGAGAGAATAATTCACTCAATTGATCAAACAGCTGAATGGAAGATTCCTGTCTGCAATCATTTTGGCACCGCTCTTAGCTGGCATGACTTGGAGAAGGTGGGTTTCACCATCAGTAGATAAAGACACAAGTGCAAATAATCCCATTGCTGCCCATTTATCAAGCTATAAAATCTGACTTGCAAACAGCACAGAAATGTACAAATCTCTGTTGCAATGGCAGTTTGGACACCTGCCTTCACTTTAACCTAAATCAATGTTGAAACAATAATAAACCTGGTAATTAACCTAAACATCACATCCAAACTTATAAAACATTAAGTAGACTGGAATGATAGAGTTGAGACAGTGTCGAGGACAGAAGACATGCCAGCAATGATTGAGACATCCTTGCAGTGAATTCCAAAAGCCTGAGAAGATGTCAGAAACCTGAGACGAAGCCACATGGTGGCAGGCCACATCAGGAAGTGCCTCTTGATATAAACTGTGCATGTCTATACAGGGGCAGTTTGAGAATCATTGCTACTTGGCTCTAGAAGTCATGAAGAGTCCCTAAAATAATGAGTACCAAAGAAATGGTTTTGGTTACAGGAGTCATGACAAATACTAAAAACGATGATTACCACACTGTTTTGGCTGAAAAGGGTAACAAGTCACAAAGCAAACTGTCATGCAATTGTTATGACCTGACAAATTCCAGCTTCCACATCCAAGACGAAGCAAACAATGAGTATCAGGTCAAAACTTTACCTGAAAATGTGTTGAATATAAAATTCAAGGAGTTTCAAAGCAGTGGAATACTAAGGTATGATGGTACATAGTTTATTTTCTTCATCAGCTTTTTTATGATTAGGTCCGAACTTCCTAAACTACCCAATGATAAAAATAGTATGGAATGTTTGTTAAAAGCTTAAATTGTTGAGCCCATGCCTGGATAATTAAGCCTTATTAGCTGACACAGGAGAACTAACAATTATACATTTTAAGTGCTTTGCTAAAATCTATGGTATATTTTATAACTGGGTTGGATCATGTGAGCTACTCTGTTACAAGGTACCAGGAAAGCAACTCTAGAAAAATATCACCACCCCCCTTACCCTCTCTCAAAAATTAAAAATTATATTCCACCACATGATATCTTAATGTGGGAAGAGAGGTGGAGAGAATGTTTCTCATTCTTTTTTGTCCCAGTGTAAGATTGCTCTTTACTTTCTATATCTTTTCTTTTTTCTTTTTTGGTCCAGCACTCAAACTCAGGACCTTGCATTTCCAGGTAGGTGCTGTACCACTCAGCAATATTCCCAGCCCCTCTATATCTTTTCTTAAACAATGTATCAAAAATCTACTTGGTACTTATACATTCATTTTCTTTGAACCTTGATTTCTTTCATGCTCAGGTCAAATGATTGTCAAAGGACTCTCCCCCAAAAAGATCAAATACAGGGATATATGTTATGATGTATACAAGTAGATTTCAACCACGACAATTAAAAACTAAAACTCCACTCTTACCAGGATCTATAACTTGAACCAAAAAGGCCCCTGTTCTCTTCAGCTTGTCCAAGAGCCAATGTAAAACTAGAATACCCAAAACTTGGTTTGGAAAACCAAATTTTCCTATGAATGATTCATAATGTTAAATGAAGTAAATCATACACACAAACCTAAATATCACATTGTTTCTCTTGTATAAAAATCCAAGTTATAAAGACCAAAATAAAAAAGATAATAGGAAATAGGGAGATAGATCTTTCTCAAATGAGAAGAGGACCAAGAGATGGAGGGAGGAGAGAAGGAATGGAGAGAAATAGGATGAAAAAAGGAATAAAAGTATGTTATGTATATGTACCAACTCCACACAAGAAATGTAAACATTATGTACTATAAACATGTACTAATAAAAATATAAAAAGAGGACCAAGTTTTAGAAGACTCCCATTTTGTCTAACTTTTCATAGCCACTTTCAAAAGAAATCTTTGTTCTGTATCTAATGTGCCTACATTCATGGAAGGTAGAGGTGGGAATACTTGGGTCATCTGAAATTAGCAAGGCTTGGAATTGGTGGTGTAGCTTCAAGATATAGCATTTCCCTACTTCCTTAGTATGTACAAGGCCCAAGGTTCAATCCCCAGCATCACAAAAAAACAAAATAAAACAAGTCTTAGACCTTCTCAGACTTTTGTGTGTCCAAGAATATGATGGAGAAGAGTTATTCAATATGCAGATTATTGGTCCTTGATTAGGATGTTGACTGATTAGGTCCAGAAAGAGCATGAATAATCTGCATTTTAGACAGAATATTCCTAGTGATTTTAGTGCATGAGATCAATGGATCTCAGCATGGACCCATGGCCCCAACACATGCACTGATAGGTTGGTCCCTGGCCAACTCCACAACTATGGGTTCTGTGCGTTTCTTCAGCCACTACCAAAGTGGAGCTGACACTGCATTGTTTCCTCTCTGCATGGGACCACAGAAATGCCAGCCAAACAACAGACCTGACCTTGGATAAGACAAAAGTCTGGAATAGGGAATTCAACATGGCTAACTAGATGAAGAGTCATATAGAAGCTGAGGAAAAATTCAGAGAAGGAAGGATCTGAAAGATCCAAAATGGCTGAATAGAAAAGGAGCCATATTAGAGAGACTTAGAGAATTTCAACTAGAAACACAGAGAGGAGGAAAATCCATCATAAATGGATGGAGTCATAAGAAATGGATTAATCAAACACTATGTGCTGAACATGTCTGAATTCTGATTTGAAGTTTGTAACCCAAAGAATATTATTCAGAGACAACCATAGAATATGCCGCAAGGAAGAGACAACCATATTAGGACTGAGAGATTCAGCAGCAGTTGGAACCTGCAAGAAAAATGTGGGATACCACTCCTACAGTGGCCTTCCTTAGTCAATAGTTGGAGAGTGACCTCAGTGCAGCACCCACAGCCACAACTGTGGAATGAAAGATAGCAGGAAAACCATTGTAGGAAATGGCTCAGTGTTCAGAGTTGGGTCCCAGAGCAGCCCCATGGCTCCAAGCCACTCCCTACACTGTCAGGTTCCCAGAGTGGCTGAGGGAAGGACAGTCATAGGACACAGTTGTTGGTTGGACAGCAGGCTGACAGTCCGACTGAGGGCCTGGAGTTGGTGAACATAGACCTGACCTGCAGTCAGAGGCCAGGTTCAGCCTGAGTTATGCAGGACTGGATGGTCACCTTAGTGCCTGGTCCCCACTGTATGCATCCAGCACAGTTCTGGGGAGGACAGCCACCTTAGACTTCCTCTTGCTTTCCAGCATGAGCAGAGACACTCCTTGGCTTGAACTCTGCTCCTTTTCCCTAGGCTGTGGAAAGGAGCCTTATGGCCAAAATGATAGAAAGCTTTCTTTTTCGTCTGTTTATAATTCTTTTGCTTTTTTTTTTTTTTTTTTTTT